CATCATTCCATCTGCAAGTCCAGGTGCGCACGCGTCTACCCCACAGTATGCCGCTGTCCCACCGTCTCTCCCGAAGCGGCCGCAGCGTCTATGCTGCTTGCACCGCTCTCCGTGGCCAGGGAGGCTCGAACTGTCGGCTCGCCCCGCGCTTCCAACTCAAAGAAACGGTCGCGAGTCGTCCCTCGCGCAGGCTCCAGGTCGCTGGCTTGGCGGCACGGGGGGGCATTGATTGTGGAGAAAGTCTCGCCGTTCCTGACGTCGATGTTGCGCAGCCTCACCCTCCATCCGTCACTCCATCCCTTTTCCACCTTCCACCATCTATCCCCCTCTCCGCCCCCATCCCTTCCCTGCCTCCTCACCATCGCCGACGTGCCCCCCCCCACCCAACAATCCGCCCCGCCGCCCATCCCTCCCCTCCCCCCGCCGTATCCCGTCCATCCCCGTCCCCCCCCCTCTCCCCCTTCCCCGTGCCCTCCCTGCCCCTCTCCCCCCTCTCCCCACTCCCTGTACCCATCCCCTCCCTCTGCACTCCCCCACCCCTCCCCACGCAGGACCGATGCCTGAAGAGGGCGGGATTTGTTTCCCCAGCCGATGCCCCCCTGGCCGCCGAACGACCAGCGCCTCCCGCGCGGGCTCCAGAGCTGTAGGGCTCCCGAGGCAGTCTGGCAAGGGAGCGCATAGAGCAGGCGGAGAGGAAGGATGATGATGATGATGATGATGATGATGAGGAGGAGGAGGAGGAGGAGGAGGAGGAGGAGGAGGAGGAGGAGGAGAGGAGGAGAGGAGGAGGGGGAGGGGAGGGGGAGGGGGAGGGGGGAGGGGGGGGGGGAGGGGGAGGGGGAGGGGAGTGGAAGAGGACATTTCACGGTGTAGCTCTTGCGAGCTGGACTGTGGCGCCTCGGGAACAGGAACGCAGGGGGAGGAGTGAGAAGAGGGAAAGAAGAGATAGAGATGGTGTGAGGGAACTGGGGAGGGAAGGATTCAGTCGCCATCTCGGCCCCAGCCACAATTCGAACGGCTCCGAAGGCCGCACTGGTGGCCGCAACGATCCCCTGTCTGCATAGCACCTTCTGCGCATGGCAGTTGCCGCGCGCTCGCGGCAGTATCCCACTGGGCGTGTGGGCGTCGGTGGACGTGGTGGCACAGTGCGCGCAGCTTCGTTCTACCCCCCTCCGGATTGTTTTACCCACCTGCGTTTCGTTTTACCCTCCCCTCCGTTTCGTTTTACCCCCCTCCGTTTCGTTTTACCCTCCCTCCGTTTCGTTTCACCCCCTCCGCTTCGTTTTACCCCCGTCCGTTTCGTTTTGCCTTCCCTCCGCTTCGTTTTACCCCCCTCTTCTGAGCGGCTGACTGCGTGAACTCGCCAATTGCTGGCTGGCTCGCGTGGCGGCACACGTGCTTCGCTCGGCGGTCTTCAGCTGCTCGTGCCGACCACGCTGCGGTGAGATCCGCGGGTCGCGCTCCCTCGTCCTCCTCGTCCTCCCCCCCCTCCCCCTCCTCCTCGTCCTCCTCCTCCTCCTCCTCTTCCTCCTCCTCTTCTTCCTCCTCCTCCTCCTTCTCCTCCTCCCCCCCCTTTCAAAAGTATCGCGCCAGAGCGACTGCCCATTGGGGGGGGGGGGGGGCGACGCCGCGTGCGCCAGTTTCCCACACGTGGAGCTCTGAGGCAAGGAGACGGCGCTTCCGCACGCCGGCGATTTCCAGCGACGTTCCGTGGGCAGGCCCCCCGAGAGGTCAGAGCACGATGGTCCAGGTGGGACGGCCCCAGCCACCTCGTCCGGCTGTGTTGCGGCCCTGCTGGGCCCGCGCCGCCGAGACTTGGCGGAGCTGGTCGTGATCGACGCATCGGATTTGGATGGGCGTCTTCGCGTGAGCTTTTGGCCACAGGCTCGTTTTTCGTCTCGGCGCGACCTGCCAGTTGAACTCCTGCAGCGGGCCCTTCGTCGTCAGCGACTTCCTCGGGAGGCCCCGCGGAGGTGGTGGCCGCGGCCGCAAGGCATGTTTCGAGGAGGGCGTTCCCAGCACGGCGGCGAGCTTGATGAAAGGGCAGCTAACTGCTCCTTATTGAGCAGGCTGATTTGAGGCGAAGGGGCACGGAGGACACGTTTGGCGATATTGCCGTTCGAATGGAAGGCACAACTGGGAGCGACCACGGCTGAGCACATAGCTCACATTGACGAAAGGCGTGGCAAGCTGCCGCGGACATGGCAAGAGACGGGCTGGCGGGAGGACTTTGTCCGAACACACTACCGCGACAGAAAGCCGCGCATGGCACAACGGCATCGCGACGCTGGTGGACGCGCAGATCTACACCACCAGCGCCCGTTCCCACCTGCTCGACGGCCGTTGCAATGGGCATGGTTCGCGGGGTGCGCTTTCGGCGGATGAGAGTGGCCAGCACGACCAGGTTTCTGTCGTCGAGCGCCACGTGGAGGGGAGCGAGCGCGACATTAGCAGGCTGGCCAGAGACGTGGGCGACAGCGCGCAGCAGAGCATCGAGACGCGTCTCCCCCCCCAGGCACGCCCGAGCAGAAGGTAATTGCCAGGCAGGAACTGACGGACCGTCTCCAGGACGCGATGATGCAGGGCACTGCGCGGGATCAGGAGGGCACGCCCAGGCAGGCCCACACCATGCCGTAGCACTGGGCTGACCCCGTGGCGACCATCGCCACAAGCTTCACTGGTGCCCTGGAGGGACTGAGAGCACTCGACAGGAGGGCGCGGGCCCCAAAGCTGGCCGCCAAGGCCGCGTAGGAGCGCGAGGCGAAGGGGCAGGCGCCCCGCGCGGCGCGCAGCAGTTCGACGAGACTCTTTGAACGGGCGCTGAAGCTGAAGCACGCACTTCCGCAGACCACGCGGGAAGGTTCGTGGGCCGCAGGCTGTCATGCCCAGCGAGAGGACGTTAGAGACTGGACAACCTGCCGTGCAGATGGGGCCTGTTGTCGGCAAGGGAGCTGATCAGATGGCCAGACGCAAGAAGGGTGTGCAGAGCATGGAGAGCCGCGACATGTCGGCTTCATCCGGGAGTTGGCCAGTGCGCGCGGCGCGCGCGGCGCGGGCGGCGCGGGGGGAGCGGCCGGCCGCTCGGCTTTCATGGCGGGGCAGCCTCGAGACTGAACATGCGCGCACGGAAGGGAGGGGGCGAGCATGGGGGGGGCTGGCAGGAGGAGGAGAGGCTCCTCCTGCCCATCCATCCCTCACCTCTCTCCAGCCCCCCCCTCCTCCTCCTCGTCCTCCTCCGTGGCCATTTTGGCCCAGGACACCGTGGCCCTCGGGGTCAGAGCGGAGACCTCTGATCCGAAGACAGATCCCAATTTCTTTCAGCTCCAGGGAAGCGTTCCCACCTGGAGCGCAGAGTTGCCCGCGCAGCGCCCCGCGCGCCCAATGAGGACGGACCCCAGCGCGCCATTACTCGGCCAAAGAAGGAACTCAAAAGGGGACAAAAGGGAGCTGCTCAGGCCGTGGGCGAGGTCGCTCACGATGATGGCGCAGGTGTTTCTTCTGGCCAGTCGGCTGATGCCAGTGCTCCTGCAGCTTCCGCTGAGAGCCCTGCCCCCGCGCGGGCGGCTGCGCGGGCTCCGAGGGCGACTGCGACGGCGACGACGAGTGGACCGAACACGACTGCATCAGGCAGCTGGCAGGTGACTACGTGTCCAAAAAGATGGCAGAACACAGGGACGAGCTCATCCGTGACCTCACACAGGTGGCCCCCTCGACGGTCGCCGACCAGGTCGAGGATTTTGCCGTTCAGCTTGCAGAGCATTCTCTCCCCGCTGGCAGGCTGGCCCAAGGAGCGCAGCAGCCCCCAAAGATGGCCAAGGATGCCTCCGAGCAGTTCTGCCCCGAGAAGCCTGACGCAGACCAGTGGGAGTTCCAGGGGCAGCTGGACAGACACTCTATTCGACCACGGACTTGCGAGAGTCGCCTCGATGAGCACGACACCGTTCTGCAGAGACTTCGAGAACAGATTCAAAAGCTTCGCGGAGCCCTCACCCTCGCCAGCGCAAAGCCGAAGCCTCGTCCTGCCAGCGCTGCTGGATTTGTCGGGGAGGTCGACGCCGCCGCCATCTGCGCCGCGGCCTCAAATTTGGTCGAGCTCTCCGCGGTCAGGCAGGTCATCCCCGACCGGATTGTCGAGTGCGGCGTGGACGCGAAGTACTTCATTATCCCTTCTGCTGAGAACGGAACCAGGCAGTTCACGATCCAACTTACAGGTGCAGTTGGCCCTGCGTCGCGACGGGTCACTCGAGTTCTCGGAGCTCAGAGGATCGCCCTTGGCCGGTGGAAGTGATTCGAGGTCGCTGCCGCGGACAACCAATTTGCAAACTTACACATCGGCGTCGACAGAGGTCCAGGGCACATGAAGCTCGAGATACAGGGTCGCAAGATTCGGGAGGCGTTCAAAGAATTGGTTAGCGACAAGAGGTGGTTCTTCGATCGCGACAGGGGCCACGCCATGTCGGGCTGGGATCCTGTTCTTCGGCGCTCGCCCAGACCGGGCAACATCGCATCGGAGGTCGCTCAGGCTGACAACGCGGCGCAGAAGCTCGGGCTTCCAATAGTCGAATGGCGGAAGCGATCAAGAGCATCATTTCTCCTCCTGAAGCAGCCGATTGAAATCATTAGCTTCGCGATCACCATTCATGGCCGTCTGGCAGGTACCCCGTCTTTTTCATTCTCATCGCGGAACGCGCGGGTCCTGTTGCAATGCCGGGGTGCGTCTGCCAAGCCGAATTTCGCCTGCCTCAAGCGCGGTGTTGTCGCCCTCCAGGAGGTGCACAAGGACGAGGAGCAGCTCGTTGACTCCTCGTCGACGGCAGGGCCACGTGCACGTGTTCTCGCCAGTTACTGCGAGGGGTCTGCAGCACGAGGTGGAGTGGCCACTATTCTCCGTGCGGGGTGCTACGCGTAATATGGGAACTGGATGGCTACCGCGTCAATCATGTCAATGCACACAGACGCGATCTGACTATCGCTTAGCTGCGTTCGGTCTCGAAGGTCTTGGCAGCTGACCTCAAGATGCCTCACGGCGATCCTTTGCATCACGTGGCGGTGCTCCACGTCGAGTAGGACCTTGCTCATCGCGCCCCTCTTCTTTTTCATCAGTCTCATCGACGCCTCGCCGAAGGCAAAGGTCAACATGCCCGCGCTACTCGCTGGACGAAGGCACTTCGCTCCATGGTCGAGATCTCGTCTGGCGAGCCAACGCATTATGACCGCTTCTCGCACCCAGTCTCTATCCTAGACAGAATGTGGCGCAGCTGGCCTGGTTGGATTACGACACAGCATACCTCGGAGCCTGCCGCAATTGGTTGCCCTGAGAACCTTGCAAATCGGAACGTCAGTGACCATGCTGCTCATGTTGTTCGCATGTCGCAAAGGGTGCTTAAGCCTGCTCAATCTCATCGTATTCGAAGGCGCCCTTTCGAGGCTGAGGGCTTCCAGCAGCAGCTCAAGGTGGCCCGCGACAAGCTGAACTACGCAGACAAGAGCCCCCCGAGACAGATAGAGCTGCATAAGTGGGCGATTCGTGAAGTTGCTTCACACCGCGCTACTGCTGCTGGCCAGACAGATATCACGGGTGGTCTGGAGAAACGACATCAAATTGGCTAACAGGCTCATCCACAATCATGGGACGGCTCGAGACTTCT